TTTTTTTTTTTTTTTTTTGGTGGGCGGGTTCTAAAGTATTGAGCTTGGTAATAGCTGTGTAAGTCTGTTTCCTAGATAAGTTTCCTCAGTTGATTTCTTTTAGCCAGTTCTAATAGTCTTTCCTTTTTGTGTTTGTTCAGGAAGAAGAGTTGCGGGGTGCAGTTGCCTTAGTTTTTGCGAATAAGCAGGTTAGTGCTATTGCCTATTATCTGTACAATTTGCATTTTTTTGTTGAAAAGAACATAAAAAATATTGCATCTTTTTCTCAACGCTAGTTTTTTTTTTTGGAGTTGTACACTGTTTCTGTAGTTGTTTCTCAAGACCACAGCACGAGGTCCGAGACTAATTTTTTATATTTTGAATGCATGATTGTTTAATTCAAATGGTTGATGTAATGCACTTTCTACTTTTCTATCTTTTATATAATAGTCTTCACTTCGGTATAGGATCTTCCGGGTGCACTTGATGATGCAGCAGTCACAGAAGCCTTAGAGTTGCACAAGATTAAGAACCGTCAATGGGCTATATTTAAAGCCTCTGCGATAAAAGGAGAAGGTCTTTTTGAGGGATTGGATTGGTAAGCTGTAAATTTGTAGCTTACTTTTGTTTGTTTTTCTTAACGATTCAAAAAACTATAATGATTAGACACGATGATGGTTAATGGACACCTCGTAGAAGCTATGAACCATTGTTATTTTGAACTCGTAGAAAATAGTTCAATGTCAAATGACTTTGGACTCCTTGAAATGCTTGAAGCAGCATGGCTAGTCAGAAGGTTTCGCTCATTTCATGGCTCGCGTTTATATAATCTAAACTAATTAGCTTCTTAATGCACAGGTTAAGTAACACACTCAAGTCTGGAGGTGGCTAATTCAAGCCAAAAGAAGAACATTGAGGCGCCCAGTTGACGAATATGGTGTTTAAACGTTATGAGTTGCAGGAGAGAACACGTTTGTCCGAGCGATTTCGCCAGCTTTACTTGCTTTTTAGTCACAATTTTTTAAGGGAATGAACTATCGGTATACATGTAAAATTGCTTTTGATGAAGATAGTGGCCACTGGGAGTCTTCGCTGATTCTATTCTTGTTTCCCATCTTTAAGTGCTTTGGTTTGAAGCATATTCTTATTCAGAGATTATGTCTAAATTTGTACTTCTCGTCACTTCCCTTTTGCCCTCTGCCAATATTTTTATGGGTTGGGTGCGTTTTTACACATACCTCTGCCAAACCATATAGAGGACTTCTTACATGCAACGACACAATAGAGGTCTGGCTCGGTTATTAAGAGAGTAAGCTCATTGCTAGCAAATATTGTCTATTTTAATTTATTATGTGTTGTCATCAACTTCATAGTTTTAAAATGTGTCTATTAGGGAGGTTTTCACAACCTTATAAGGAATGTTTCATTTCTTTCTCCAACCGATGTGGGACCTCACAATTCATCTCCAGTGTCCGGTTGATACATTATCCGGTGTTTGGCTGATACATTGTCCAGTGTCTGACTTTGATACCATTTGTAGTAACTTAAGCCTACCGCTAATAAATATTTGTCTGTTTCGATCTGTTTCTTTTCCTAACTGTATACTTTGGGACACCTTTGTTATTATCACTATGTCTACTTCATCATCAACATTCGTAGCTATTAATGTATCTACAACCCCTGTCTCTATATATATGAATGGTTACATTTTGTGTTATATTTTGATGAGTTAGGTTAGAATTTAGCATGTAAGTACTCAATTGAGTTATATATTTGATATTTGGTTATCATGTGTGAGATCCCACATCGATGGAGAGGAGAACGATTGCTTACGAGGGCACTGGACCTTAAAATGGTAGATTAAAAGGGGTGGATTATAACATCTTATATTGATTGGAGAACATTAGTTAGAGAGAGAATGAGAACAATATTTGTTAGTAGTGAATTTGAACTAAGAGAAGAATTTGAACTATAACAGTATTTTAAGTATTTTAAGAAAGAGGAGATTGAATGATTAGAAAGCCGTGAACTATTTATAAATATTTTAAAAATATAAAAGTACGTTAAATATAATTATAAAAAAAAAAATTACAAATGTGCCCTATATAAAATTTCAACAATATAATATCTTTCAATTTTATATTATTATTATTTTCTTTTTTATAATAGTAAAATAAGAAAATGGCTTCTCAACTCCTAGCCGTCGATTTTACGCACTTAATCTTTCTCGAAGCATCTTGAGACCAACATACCTACAAAAACAATTTTAAAAATATTTAGCTAATGGAAATAAAACATAATTAAAATAATCTTAAAAACACAACAAATATGGAAGTCTTTTTTTAAAAAATAAATACAAATATATAATTATCTTTCAAATGGGTAATTTTTTAATAACATTCTTACCCTTACGCTAATTTTAGATAGAAATCTCGAAGTTAAGCATAGTCTGAAAACTTTACGTAAGGTAAAGTTTGATTTTTTGGGACTGATAGTGGAAAAGTTGATAGTTAAGTCACTCTTATTACCACTCGATAGAACCATACATGAGATTTTCACCTTAGACGGCTCTTCGTTCAATTCTTCCGAAGTCATTGGATCATTTTTCTCGCTCGAGAATCTCCTACCCTCTTCTCCATTCCATCCCGAAGAGTGACCGGGACCAATTTAATCACGTTTTCATTCATTTGAAATCCGGGCTCTTAAACTTTTAAATTTGTTTTACTTATACTTAAAAAGTTTCATTAATTTTGTTTTTTATTTTTATTTTTTAAAGGCTATGATAAATGTAAAAGTAAAAAGAACTCACCGGCCCAACATGGAGACAGTGGCCATAGGATTGGTTCCCGGCGAGTCGGAGAAAGTGGAGCCGTCAACGACACGCAGCTTTTCAACTCCAACAACTCTATAATTCCCGTCCACCACTTTTCCGACCAAACATCCTCCATGGTAATGCCAAAACGTTGTCACCGTTTTCCGACAAAACTCCCCAACTAATCCATCATCCGCCATGTTTTCCGGCAACGGTACCCCCAAAAACTGAACTCTCTTTTTCCCCTCCAAATCCGCCGTCTTAATCTTCTCCATCGTTTGGGTATTCAGCAAATCCCCAATTTTCCTCAACCCTTTAACACACTGAGCCAGATCCTCCGGCTGCGTGAAATAATTGAACCGAACGGTGGGGCTCCGCCGCACATCGGTGGAGGAATTCAACCGGAGAGACCCCACAGAACCCACTTTGGAGAATTTTCCACTGATTACGTGTTAGATAAAACCTGAGTTTTACCGTTTTTCTTATTCACACGATTTCAGAAAATCGTGAGTTTGACCATTTGACAAATCACGTCGAATGGATCACCAGAGTTTTAGAAGGGAGTGGCACAGATTTAGTTGGCCACTCTCCAGCCAATTTTAGAATTCCTTTTTACTTTAAATAGGAGAATTGTTCAGAAAACAAAACAACCTCAACGCAGTCAAATTCAGAGTTATTTTTTTCTCTCTCCTTTTTGTTACGCATTTTCTGAATTTCCTCTAAATTCTGTGAAAACCAACATTACGACTAGGCTTAAATTGAGCGAAGTGGAGTGAGGAGGGAGGAGGGCGAAGGAGGGGGGAATTGAAAATGGAAGGAAATTTGAGAGGGATTCGAAATGGGTGTTTGTTTCGGTGGTTCCGACGACTTCTACGGTGGTGGTTGGGAGTGGAAATGGTAGCATTATGTTGACGCCGAAACGGGGGTTGTCGGACATGAATTCGCCGACGTGGGGTTGGTGGAGGACGACGGGGAGGTTGAGGGAGGAGAGATGAGATATTGGGCCGATTCCGCTTAGAAGGAGGAGTTGTGGGCTTCCAATGGCTCCGGCACTCAATATGATCTCTCCTTTCTTGCGGATGTATGCTGTATGTGACTTTCCTTTTGAATCGGAATAGGAAACCCCAGTTGCAGATAAACCTACATAAAAAAGTAAACTCATGTCGGATCTCAGATTGGTCGGAGTGGTCGGAGGGAGAGAAGAACAAACATTCTCTACTTAGTGTGGAAACCTTTTCCTAATAGATATGTTTTACAAACTTTTCAAGAAGTCTAGAGAGGACTTTATCGGCTAGTGGTGAGTTGAACCATTATAAATGATATAGAGCTAGACACGGGACGATGTGTTAGCGAGGAGGTTGCGCCCCAAAGGGGGTGGACACGAAACGGTGTGCCAACAAGGGCACTGGGCCCTGAGGGGGTGGGTTGTAAGATCCCACGTTGCTACTCTGAGTGCCAGTGAGGGTGCTAGACCCCGATCTGAAATCGGGGCTTGTGGTAACTATTAAGCTTTTAAAGACTAAGTTTGGGTTTTCCCTCCTGACTTCTCTCAAGGTTTTTAAGATGCTTTTGCTAGAGAGAGGTTTCCATACCCTTATAAAAACAATGTTTCGTTCTACTCCCCGACCGGTGTGGGATCTCGCAGAAACAATCCCCGCAAATTCTCCGTGTAGTATCTCTGCCCCAATTGTGGCAGGGATGAAAACAAGAAATGAAAACAAGAAAAAAAAGTTATTAACATATCATTTAGAACAACTCTTAAAGGTTCTGCCCGTCTATATTATCAAAAGTACACGTGTGAGATCACATAATCCCACATTGGTTGGAGAGGAGAACCAAACGCCCTTTGTGAAAACCTTTCACTAACAGACGTATTTTAAAAACCTCGAGGGAAAGTCTGAGAGAGAAATCCCAAAGAAAACAATATCTGCTAGTAATCTTTCCCTAGCAAATGCGTTTTAAAAGACGCGTTTTAAAAACTTCGAGGGAAAGCCCGAAAGAAAAATCCTAAAAAAAACAATAGGTGCGAGTAACTTCTCCCTAACATAAGCGTTTTAAAAACCTCTAGAGAAAGTCTAAAGAGGGAAAACCTAAAAGAGAAAGCCTAAAGAGGACAATATTTGCTAGTAGTGGACTCGAGCAAAACCTCGAGGAAAAGTCTAAAAAAGAAAGTCTAAAGAGGACAATATCTGCTAGGAGTGGACTCGGAGTAGTTACAACACGACTTTATGTTATAAAGTTTAATCAAATTAGAGCAAGAAAAAGTGAAAATTCCAGCCATTTATGAGGACTACTAACCAGAGAAGATGATTCTATGGACACTTGCCTCAACAACAACCTTAAGGTTATTAGATTCAACCTTATTCAAAAACTCCACAGCTCCACGTCTATTCCCATGTTCATCAAAGATCGAACCACCAGTCTTAGTCCCCACAACGCTTCTCAAATCAAACCCATTATCAGGCCCAACCCCACCTTCCAACATCGCCCTTCTAAGCGCCGCCTGCCAAGAGCTCAAACTTGGCCGAGACACCACCGTCTCCTCAACCCATTCATAACCCTTCTCCACCATCTCCATCTCCCATTCAACGCCTCCACTTTCAAAGAACTCCCTATGAGCCCTTGAGTAGAATCCTGCATTGATCATGCTACTCCCGCCCAAGATCCTCCCTCGTAGATTCTCCACGCCGTCCTCCGACACGAACCGCTCGTACGGGCCTTTCCCGTCGTCGTCGTCGGTGAATGCGTTTAGTAAGCCTTGTTTGTTTAACACGGACGGGAACTTGGTCGGTTCGCTGCCTCGTTCGAGGAGGAGGACGGTGAAGTTTGTGGATAGTGTTGTGGCTAACGGGCAGCCGGCGGTTCCGCCGCCGATGACTATGTAGTCGTATGGTTGTTGTTCTTGATGGTCTGGTATGTTGTTGGCATTGTGCACGAACTTCATGTAGGGATTAATGGGTTTGGTGTCAACGGAGATGGAAATGAGGGTGAGAAGGAGAAAGGTAGCCATGGTTGAGTGCTTCATGTTCATCTTTGCATATCCAATCAGCTAAGAATTTAGGGTTTTTATATGAACACAAGTTAATTCCAAGGGGAAGAATGTTAGGCGAAGTAGGTAAAGCTCGAGTTTTGGGCAAGAAAGTTTTGTACGGTGTTTATGGGTTGGGTCAGATCGGGTTAAGTTTTATTATACAATGAACCCAACTCAACCCAACCATAAATTTTTTTATAAAGTAAAGCTGAGTTTTCGGCAATTTCTAGCAACTTCAGGGTGAAGAAACTTTTTTAGGAGTGTTTATAGGTTGGGTTGGATCCAAGTTGAGACATTTCTTAGATACAACTCAAATGGGTCAGATCGAGTTGAGACATTTTTTTGAGACAGAATTCAATTGTTCGAGTTCTTAACTTTTTTTTCAATCAAACTCTTATTATACAATGAACCCAATTCAACCCGATCCAACCATAAATTTTTTATATAGTAAAGTTCGAGTTTTCGACAATTTCTAGCAACTTTAGGGTTAAGAAAGTTTTTTAGGATGGTTTATGGGTTGGGTTGGATCGAGGTTGAGACATTTGTTAGATGCAACTCACATGGGTTGGATCGGGTTGAGACATTTTTTAGACACAATTCAATTGTTTGAGTCGTAAATTTTTTCAATCAAAACAATTATTATTGAAAAATAAACTCGACCCAACCTAACCATAAATTTTTCGGGTTAGGCAGGTTCAAGTTATCCAAGTTCAACTCAATTCAATCTATAAAATTTTTCATTTATTTACGGAAAGCAATTCAAATAAGTTTATAATCCAACCTAAATTGTTTGAGTTGAAATGGGTTGATCGTCGAGTCATCCGCTCCTAAATTTTTTTTTCGTAGAACAAATAATTCTAGCATTAATTTCTTGTCTTTTTATCTTCTTTTTGAGTTAGGAACATAACATATTATAATAATAATAATAATAATAATAAATCTCAAAAAATGGGAAATTTGTTGTGTTTGGTTAAGAATATCCTCACATCCTAGATTTGATGAAAAATGTTCTTTTAAGGAAAATTTAAGAATGATTTATTTATGTTGTCAAATAGATTGTTTGTCAAAACTACTACTCATTTTGTTGGGGTTGGTGACCATATTCTAATTTCTATACTTCCATACCAACTTCGAGTTTCTTTCGGTAGGTTTTAGTTGAGTGTTCGTTCCTAATTGTAAGCTACTTTTTCATGTACGGAAACAAGAATTTAAGAATAAGATATAAAAAGAGTTCTAAATAAGGAATTTTTTTTTGCTCGGGTTTCATACATGTCATGCAATCTGTGTACCCATATTTCCGTTCATGCGTGTTTCACATATCAAGTTTGACATACGTACCAATCTAAGTATAGTTTAGTCACATAAAATATTAAGATATTTTGGGGTGTAAATGGTCCGTGGAGAGATTTTTTTGGATAAACCCAAAAGTTCAGGTTCGTTAGATGGGAAACTCAACCCAACTATTACCAAGAGAAATAATATAACTAGAGAACTATCATATCAATGCAACTATTAGACCAAGAAATTATAACACAGCCGAGACAACGATGGGTTCTTTGCCCCTGCAGGGATGGAGCGACAAAAGTTTTGAGAATTCAAGAGAAAGTCACGGCGAGATGAGTCGTTTATCATCACGATAGGTGTCAAGTGGAAGTGCAGTGATGTATGCAGCTAAGACATTCTAACAGACCGGTAGACTTGGAACCTTGTTCGTACAAGACCCGATCAATTCGATTAGGCATTCGCCATCTATTTTCATTGTTCAACTCTTTGACAACATGAAAAAATCCAAAAAAAGCTTTGCCCTCACTAGGAAACTACGGTATCCTAAAGTAAATAAATAATATAGCATCAGAGTAACTATTGTACCAAGGAAAAGAACACACATAGAAACAAATGACAACACTCACTAATGTCATAATCTTAATATCAATGAACATAATGATCGAAATAACTTATGGGCTTGTCACTTTTAATGAGTTTGATTTTGGCGTAGAATTTGCTTAGAGATTAAAAAAAAAACATTATTATACGAACAAGTATGTTTTAAATTTAAAAAGATTAGGAGGAAAGACTCAAAAACAGACAAAGACATGCTGCATGGACACGTTGTTCACCCATAGAAGCTTTGAAATCAATGTAGAACAAGTAGTCAAAGTACCTGAAAACGTTAAAAGTTGAAGGGATTCATCTCGGGAGAAGCTATCGACATCAATATCAACTCTCGTCATTTCACCTCACACCCATCATAAGTTTTATTTATGTCTCTCAACTTATCTAGCTATCATCTAATTTCAATTATGTGTGTTTATAGCAATGATGAAAGAGATGTTTTAGAATCAATTAGTACACAATCTCAAAACTAACGAACCCACATGCGTGCACAGTGTCACAATCGCACTCTTGATGGTAGCGGACTTGCGATTGTGCGGCACTCACTTTCCAACGACAAGTGAGGTAAGCCAATTCGTTCTTGTGTCACCTACGGCCAAGCGACGTATGTTCGAACCTCTGGCCTCGGTTTAAGAGAAGGTTTTAGAAAACAAGGGCAGAGAGAGATTTTCGAAAGAGATTTTTGAAAGAGACGTTATATAAGTAAGTAAGAGAGTAACAACAACGGCTCACAGCATATATAATCTTAGGTAGGGAGAAGTTGACAACTAGTTATATCCCCTAGTACATTCTGAAGCATTTATGTCTGGCAGACCTAGACATGATTTTTCAGAAACGTCGCTCCCTAAAAATACAAAAGGAAAAGACTAGAACATGGAAAGACATAAAGGGTTTGGCTTGTCATGGGCAACACGCCTTGGACGAGCATAACTATGACACAGCCACATCTACGATATCAATATCGACATCAATATCAACATACCTAACTATTATCTAAATTTCAATTATGTGTGTATATTATGACCGATGATTAAAGAGATGTTTTAGACTAACGAACGATACAAAAGTACACGACTTCGAACCTCCCACATCACTACACATGCCTACACATGCACATCAATATCAACTCCCATTTCACCTCTAAATTTCCACCCTAAATTACCACATATCTATGCTTCCAATATGAAAACACAGAATTCAAGAATAATATCTCTCGCTTTAATCCAAATAAGAACATACCTCAGAAGGGTCTCTCCAGATTTAGAAGGCCCAGCAAACACAAACTTGCTCTTAGTTCTATGAGATGAAATAGGATGGATGAATTGAGACGGTATTTACACAGAATTCAAGAATAATATCTCTAGCTTTAATCCAAATAAGAACATACCTCAGAAGGGTCTCTCGAGATTTAGGAGGCCCAGCAAACACAAACTTGCTCTTAGTTCTATGAGGATGAATTGAGACGGTATTTACATAGCCAAATACCACCAGGGGACATTGATGAACACCTACCAAAATTCAAACCCAAACCCAAAATCAGAAACACATCATGAATTAATCATAACATCCACAATTATAGTTCAATGAAAGACCTGTTTGGCAGAATATAGGTAAAACCCAAGTGACCCACCTGACTTTGGTGGTATGTGTTGAAGATTATTAGGAGTGAGTCATACATTAGTTAATTTAGTGGAAGATCATGGGTTCATAAGTGAGGAATACTATCTCAATGAGACCTTTTTGGAGAAACCCAAAGTAGAGCCATGAGAGCTGATGCTCAAAGTGAACAATATCATACCATTGTGGAGAGTCGTGATTCCTAACATAATCCACGCATCTTAATCGACCATACTGCATAGTTACTCTTCATGAGTAACGTGTATTAGAACGTTACACTCCCCTCCTTTCCGCTCTTTATCATTGTCACTTCTCCTTCGATGACTTTGTATGATGACAAGATATGTAAAGAACAACCCAATTGTTCGATTCAATTATTATTCGATTCTTAACGATCTTGCCCAATGCGTTAAAGGATTACAAAATAGTGGGAAATTTACTTAAAACCGATATTGTATTTATCATCACGAAATTATTAAAAACATGAATGCTCTTTAACTTGATCTTTCTTGCAGCATCTTAAGGCCAACATACCTGAAGAAATAAAATTGAAAAAAAAATGAGAATTGAATAATTTATTTTATTAAAAATAGGAAAAACAAAATTATATGTAATATTATAAATTTAATAACTCACCGGCCAAGCATCATGAGGGTGGCCATCGGATTAGTCCCCGGCGAGACAGAGAAAGTCGAGCCATCTACGACACGCAAATTTTTGATTCCGATGACTCTGTAATTACGATCGACAACTTTCCCGACCAAACATCCGCCGTGGTAATGCCAATAAGTGGTCACCGTTTCCTTACAATACTCTTGGACGGAGCTATTATCCGACAAGTTTTCCGGCAATGGAGGCCCTAGAAACTGAAACCCTTTATTACCCTCCAAATCTTGCGTCTTAATCTCTTCCATAGTTCGGGTTTTAAGAAAATCCCCCACTTTACGTAACCCTCTAACGCATTGTGCAAGATCGTTAGGATTCGTATAGTAATTGAATCGAACAATTGGGTTGTTCTTAACGTCTGTCGAGGAATTCAGGTGAAGTGAGCCTTTTGAAAGCACGTCCGAGAATTTTCCGATAAGAAGGGCTAAGCTCGGGTTGATCAGAGTGGATTGAGGAGGAAGAAGGCCGAAAGTTGGTAAAATAAAAAATGGTGCAGGGCTTGCAAATGTTTGCAAATGGATATTGCCGTCTAATATTCCGACGACTTGTGCCGATGAAGCTACCAGTGGGAATGGAAGCACGACGGCGGCGCTGAAACGGGGGTTGTCGGACATGAATTCGCCGACGTGGGGTTGGTGGAGGACGACGGGGAGTTTGAGGGAGGAAAGATGAGATTTTGGGCCAACCCCACTTAGAAGGAGAAGCTGAGGGCTTCCAATGGCTCCGGCGCTCAATATGATCTCCCCTTTCTTGCGGATGAATGCGGTGTGTGTCTTTCCTTCTGAATCGGAGTATGAAACTCCTATTGCTGATAGATCTGTGATGAGTTCATGATAATGAAAAGTTAGTGTATAGATTTATGAATCGGGTGATGAGGACGGATCAATTGAAATGTCCATGGGACGGAGATGAGGAAAGCTTTCCCGTGGAGTGGAGACAGGAATGGTTTTCATGTCCCGGACTTGTGCGCTGTTTGGCTAAAAGGGAGTGTTACAGTCTAAGTTGATAGCTAGTAGATATTGTCCTCTTTGAGTTTTTCATCTCGAGTTTCCTCTCAAGGTTTTAAGATGTGTATTCTAGGGAGAGGTTTCCACACCGATTCGAGAGGGAAACGAATGCCCTGAATGAAGTGGATTGTGAGACCCCACAGTTGGGGAGGAGAACGAAGCATTGTTTACGAGGGTGTGAAAACCTCTTCCTAGCATACACATTTTAAAACCTTGATGGGAAGCCCTAAAGGGAAAGCGAGGACAATATATGTTAGAGTGAGTTATAACAGCTCAATCCCACCACTAGCAGAATCATTATTTACAAAGGTGTGGAAAACTCTCATACCGTTTTAAAACCTTGAAAGAAAGTGTGTTGAGATATGAGCTATAAGCTATAAATACGGGAATTGTGTAACCCTCTAAGTAACAGCCCAATCTCGCCACTAGCAGAATTATTCTTTATAAGGGTGTAGAAACCTTGAGCGAAAACTCGAAAGAGAAAGCGGTGGACTATATCAGGCCAATCCCGCCACTAGTAGAATTATTCTTTATAAGGGTGTGGAAAACTCTATTATACGTGTTTTAAAACCTTGAGGGAAAGCCCGGAAGGGAAAGCTTAAAGAGAATAATATCTACTACCGGTAGGCTATAATAGTCCAATCTCACCACTAGTAGATATTGTCCGCTTTGACCCTTTACGTATCACTGTCAGCCTCACAGTATTAAAACACGTCTATTAGGCATTTTAAAACCTCGAGGTGAAACCTAAAAGGGAAAGCTCAAGTAACACAATATCTGCTAGAGGTGCACTATAATAGTCCAATTCCACCACTATGAGATATTATCTATTTTGACCCATTACGTACGCTATCAGCCTAACAGTTTTAAAACGTGTCTGTTACGGAGAGGTTTCCACACCCTTATGAGAAATATTTCGTTCCTCTCTCCCGTAGCTGTTACACAGAATCATGTTCTCCATTCCTTGTTTAAATGGAAACTTTTTACTTAACTATAATTTCCTTCGAACAAGTTAATAAAACATTTCTACTCACCCGAAAAAATGATTTTCTGAACAGTAGCACGAACAGCAACTTTAAGATTTCCGGGTTCAACCCCATTAAGAAGCTCCACAGCTCCATGTCTATTTCCATCCTCATCAAAGATAGAACCACCAGTTTTAGTGCCCACAAGATGCCTCAAATCAAACCCATTATCAGGACCAACACCACCTTCCAACAAAGCCCTTCTAAAAGCACCTTGCCAAGCACTCAACCTTGGGCGAGACACCACCGTCTCCTCAACCCATTCATAGCCCTTCTCCACCAACTCCATGTCCCAATCAACGCCTGCACTTTCAAAGAACTCCCGATGGCCCCTCGAGTAGAACCCAGCATTCACCATGCTACCACCACCAAGAACCCTTCCTCTAATGATCTCCACGCCATTCTCAGAGACAAAGCGCTGGAACGGGTTTTCACCATCATCTTCTTCGACAAACACGTTCAATAAACCTTGCTCGTTTAACACGGAGGGATACTTGTTGGGATCGCTACCTCTTTCAAGAAGGAGGACGGAGAATTTCGATGACAAGGTTGCAGCTAATGGGCAACCAGCTGTTCCTCCTCCTATGATTATGTAATCATATTCTTCGTTTTCGGGTATGTCGGTCGCGTCGTGAACTAACTTCATGTAGCTCACATCTTCAAAACAAAAGCTTAGAACAATCAAAATTAACAAACATGTAATATGATATCCCAACATCCTTTACAAGGGTGAACTAAAAATCTCAAGGAAAAATTTGAAAGAAAAAACTTGAAGAAAACCATATTTGATAGCGGTGAACTGTTGCAGGTAGTGCCGAAGAGGATTCTTACCTTGATTAGGGATAGTATGGGAGGAGAGGACTCGTAAGAAGAAGATAGAGATAAGAATTAGTGGAAGAATGGTAGCCATAGAATGCTCTATGGTTTTCAAAAGCTCAATAAAATATTATGCTCTCTAGTTTGTTCCTTCCCTTGGTATTTATATAGATCAAAAGTTTGACTCTTAATCTTAATGCAACGTTTTTCTTTTATTCAATGTGTTTTTATTTGTTGTAGGTAGAGTGAAGCTAGCATTGTCTATCATCTTGCATTCGTGGGACAAAGATTTCGTATCATCGTCAATCTCACAGTTTTAAAACACGTCTATTTGGAAAGGTTTCCAACCCTTATCAGATATTATCCTCTTTAGGCTTTTTCCTTTAGGCTTCCCATCAAGACTTTAAAACGTGTTTGTTAGGAAGAGGTTTCTATACCCTTGTAAAGGGTGTTTCGTTCTCCTCCCCAACTGATGTGGAAGATCACAATCCACCCCCCTTCAAGGTTCAGCATCCTCGCTGGCACTCGTTCTTTTCTTCAATCGATGTTGGACCCGACCAAATTCACCCCCCTTCGAGACCCAACGTCTTTATTGGCACATCGTCTCTTGTCTACCCCTTTTCGGGGAACATCTTCCTTGCTGGCACATTGTCCAGTGTCTGACTCTGATACCATTTGTAACGGCTCAAGCCCACCTCTAGCACATATTGTCCTCTTTGGATTTTTCGAAACCTGTATAACGCAGTTAGAACAATCAACACCCGAGATGATTTGTTAATACCAAATGCTCTCGAGTGCTACAATTTTAAGGATCAGAATGAATAAGCGCTCGAGAAATTTTAAACTTTTTTAAACCACAATTCAACAAATTTGATTTAATATGTAGACAAGAATTTAATGCACCACCGACCTAAGCCCAGAAAAATGCAGAAAAGAGTTACTATGGCTCAACGGCACATCCAATAATGGCTACACCTAAATTAGACGCCCACCATAACATCCTTTTATAATAATAAAAATAAAACAAAAAGTAAAAAATTAAAAAAATATATTACTTTTGAAACAAATTTCAAAAAATAATTTTAATAGCATTTTCAAATTATTTTGATAAATAATTTCCGTTCATTTTTAATAAACATATTCGGAGTTGGTCTCTACACGAACATCTCCTATCTGGTTGGAGGGTTTCGAAGTCAAACTAATTGACGTCGGTCGGTGCTCTAAAAGATGTCCAGTTCGACTGTTCGATTCACGTATATTTAAAAATATATATATATTCCTCTGCCACATTCATGGACCGATTCAATTTTATTATTAATTATAAAATAATTGATGTAACCTAAATGTGAATGTGAATAATAATAGTAGCGTCTTCGTTCAAAACTTTTGTGATAATAATTTATAATAGGGACGATAATACTTTTGACATTTTAGGTAGGTGGAAACAAAATTATTTAATAAGTCTAATATTTATTATAGCATCTACTTCGGTTGTCACTATTGCAAGACGTGTAGTTCACGCATCTCGTTTTTTATTGGCTATAAGAACGATAGTCAGAACTAGCTAAGAAAAATAAAATGAAATTGTGAGACCCTGTGTCGGTTAGATAGCGGAACGAAACATTCTTTTTATTAGAGTGTGAAAACGTCTAACTAATAGGTAATTAGCCGATGTGGGATAAACCCACGATCATTCCCTAAATTAGTCGATGTGGGACTTTCATCATCCATCCAACACCTCCCCTCGAACAAAGCACCCTCCCCTTAATCGAGGCTCGACTCCTTTGGAGTCTTAGTCATTTTTTACTGCCTTCGTACCTTCGAGTAGCCGATGTGGGATAAACCCACGATCATTCCCTAAATTAGTCGATGTGGGACTTTCATCATCCATCCAACACCTCCCCTCGAACAAAGCACCCTCCCCTTAATCGAGGCTCGACTCCTTTGGAGTCTTAGTCATTTTTTACTGCCTTCGTACCTTCGAGTAGCCGATGTGGGATAAACCCACGATCATTCCCTAAATTAGTCGATGTGGGACTTTCATCATCCATCCAACACCTCCCCTCGAACAAAGCACCCTCCCCTTAATCGAGGCTCGACTCCTTTGGAGTCTTAGTCATTTTTTACTGCCTTCGTACCTTCGAGTAGCCGATGTGGGATAAACCCACGATCATTCCCTAAATTAGTCGATGTGGGACTTTCATCATCCATCCAACACCTCCCCTCGAACAAAGCACCCTCCCCTTAATCGAGGCTCGACTCCTTTGGAGTCTTAGTCATTTTTGACTGCCTTCGTACCTTCGAGGAGGCTTGACTCCTTTGTTCGACATTCGAGGATTTGTCAATCTATTGGCATAGCTAAGTTTATGGCATGGCTCTGATACCATGTTAGTTGAACACGACTCTCCACAATAGTATGATATTGTCCACTTTGAGCATAAGCTCTCATGGCTTTGCTTTGGGCTTCCCCAAAAGGCCTCATACCAATGGAGTTAGCATTCCTCACTTATAAACTCATGATCATTTCCTAAATTAGCCGATGTGGGACTTTCATCATCCAACAAATACCACATCAAATACTCGATTGGACCTAATACTTATTGGATGAAAGTCTCACATCTACTAATTTAGGGAATCATCATCGGGTTATAATCAAGAAATACTATCTCTGTTGGTATGAAGCCTCTTAGGGAACCCCAAAGCAGGATGAGAGTTGTATTTGCAGCTTATTACCTCTTGATTCACCCCAAAAAAAGAGAGAGATGTCTCTAGTCAAGAATCGAATAGCCGACTCATGGAGCTGCTGCTTGGATTATTGTAGAAGAAGTAGGGTCATCAAATTTTAGGAATTAAATTTGGATTTAATAAATGTAAATAAAATTAAAGAAAAATGCTTTTAAATTATTTATAAAATAGAGCGATTAAGTGGCAACTGATAACCCTAGAGAGCACTGAACTCCGCCGTATGGCGCCGCAATCCTTCTATATAAAACCCAGCTTTCACTTCCCTGCCTCTACGTTTCTTGGCTGGAAGGCACATTCCTTTGCTGAGCTCTTTGATTTGAAATCGCATAATGTTTCGTTTTGGAGCTTGATTATCCTGTTAATTACCACCATTTAGCCGATCGTTTGCTCCAATTTTTGTATGTTTTAAGATTAACATCTCAAATCGTTTGCTTGATTTTTTGGGTTTTGTTCGTTCGTTCTTTTTGCCTACGGCTTGTGAAAGTTGTTCGTTCGTTCTTTCTTTTGCATCTGTTCTTTCTTTTATGTTCTTAATGGGATCTTCTGTGTGAACATGTTTTGTGTATTTATGTTCATATGTTCATTTCTGATAATGGTAGGAGACTGTATAATTTGATATTTCGTTGATCTCCTGTGAGATACACTGACTAAATGTTTCTTTTTCTGCGGATTTATTTCGAGGAAAAGTTACCAAATGTTATGGAGATTATCTGAATCTCAACGTTGTTCTGTTTTTAATTATCTGGCTGTAGATTATGTGATTATGTGCTTATGGACGGTCTTGTGCCAATTCATTATCGTTATTGGTACATAACAAATACCTAAGCTACACTACTGCCATGTTGTCTTTTGAATTTCCTTCTACAAAGTGAGGTGAAACTATGTATACTATGGCATATATCTATCTACATACACACATCCAAGCCGATAATTTTGTGGTTTGTCTGTTACATTGTGCTTATGGACTCTACACTTTTGATACCAATCATGTTTGTCAAGTTTTTCTACGCTCCATGGTATGGAAGATATCTGAATTTCATATTGTTAGATTTCACCTCGGTACTTATCTCCAACCGAGGTATGAAGCATTCCTTAATAAGGGTGTGGAAATCTGCAGATGTGTTTTAAAACCGCAAGGCTGATGGCGATATTTAGCGGGCCAAAACGGACAATATTTGTTATCAGTGTGCTTTGGTCGTTGGGTATTAGAGCTTGACACTAGGCGGTGTGCCAATGAGGACGTTGGCCCCCAAGGGGGTGGATTGTTATATGAAGGGAATGAAGCAATTCTTACAAGGGTGTGTAAACTTTTCCTTAAGAGATGTGTTTTAAAATTGTGAGGCTGATTCCAATATGTAATAGATGGGTTGGATCCCACATCGATTTTGCTAGCTGTGGACTTGGGGCTGTTACACTTTAACTTATGCATGTTTCTATTTATGTGACTGTCGTTTGTGATGTGCTTTATAGATGGGTTAGTATTCATTGCCTGCATTAGTGTCTTGCATCTTGTTGTTCAAGTTCTTTCTTTTGAAATTTTAGGAACAGCTCTCATTGCATTAGGAAATATCTGAAACAAAGCTGTTTGTAGATATGGGTTATGCTATCCATAAATATGGATATTGTTTGAAACCAATGTGCTTATGGACGGTCTTGTGCTGATTAGATTCTTAAGCCATCAGCACATAACAAAAGCCTAAGCTATATGTATGCCGCTTTGTGTCTCTAGCTTTTCCTTTCGAGTTTATATGAGGAAAAACTTTCTACATTGTGGCTACATTCATATTTTTCTTGGTAATTTGAGATTTTCAGGTTTATCAAGAGCTCTTTTGAGCTCGGTCTTTGGCCCCTTCACGGATAGCGTTGGATCCTCTTGTGTAGCTTATCAGGGAGGAGGGGGGATGGGTGGGTATTGTTTGCTTGCAGGCACGTCCAAAGAGAAGAGCACTCTTCGTAGACACACATGAACATCCTTGGAGTTAGAAGGACGTTTCTACTTGATTTGAGAAGAAATGGAAGGTGGAAAATGGAGAAAAAAATGGCAGAAACAAGATGAAGAACACAGGTGTGGAGCTGAAAAAATGGAATTAAGATGATTGTCATAGAATTTGAAGTTATATATAGTTTAAGTTGTAGGTTAAAAGGCTTGGCACATTACCAGTTTTTCAATTTAGTTCCTTTGATTCAAGCTTAATTTGAGTCCATCTCAATTCAGTATTGAAGACTTAATTTAGTTTCATGAATCAACCTACTTGAATATCTACTAAAATATATTTATATTAAATGGGGTGTGGATAGGGGCGGAGATTTAGGCGGTGATGGAAGGCGGGGAATACAATCTTGTCCAGAACCCATTCTCTACTCCTTCCAACATTCTCTAGAAAACGGGGAATAGATTCTTGCCTCCAACTCATCCCCTAGTCCCTTCGACATTTTCCATAAGACGAGGAATACAATCTTGGCCCCAACTTTCCATCTAAATGGAGAATCTCTATTAGTTTAGGTCTGGTCTATAACTCCTTTCTCAGATAAAATAGACATCTTTAGGTTAACCCAGGAGTATCAATGATTAAGAAATACTTTTTCATTGGATTAAATATTATTAAGTTTTCAAAAGTTTACCGCCTCTACTTCATCAACAAATCTGGGGGCTTGATCTTCTACAAGGTACTCAACCCATTGAAACCCCTCCTTTACGCAATTCGAAATTCAGATTTCTGTCAACTCCCAAGATTTCAGTTTTTGATCTCACATAGGAATGTGATTATGAGATTTTCAATCCACATTTTACTGATTCATAAATCCATTTTGGATTGAATCTCTTAATGGGTTCGTTTTGAAATATGGATACGAACGATAGCTTGAGAGTGGCGAGTTTATGGCATTCGATGCATATGCCATTTCCCAGCACCCTTCGCCTATAGCCGGCTGTTTGGGTGTTCAACTCATTGAGGCTGATGCATTCCACCTCCATTGCTTCCACTCACTTACTGGTACGTTTCTCCTTCTTGTTCTTTGTATACTCTGTTTCCATCAAACACATGGATGCTGACTCAGAAACTGTGATCTTAAGATTATCAATTAAGTTCCAAAATGAGAAACCACAATTGAAGTTCTAGTTGATTTTTTTTTTTCTTTGTTTTCAGTTTAACAAAATATGAGGATTCAAATCTATGATGATTTTTTGTTATGATTATAATGCCGTAATTAGTTGAGCTATCTCTAGTGTATCGGTTTGAGCCCGATATTGTCTTTTTTAGATTTTCTCTTTTGTGATTCCCTCAAGTTTGCTTTCCCTTTTGGGATTTCCCTCAAAGTTTTAAAACGCGTTTGCTAGGGAGAGGTTTCCACAAAAAATGTTTCGTTCTTCTCCCCAACCAATGTAGGATCTCACAATCCACTCCCCTTCGTGGCCCAGCCTCCTCGCTGGCACACTGCCTTGTGTCCACCCCCCTTCGAGGCTCAGTCTCCTCGCTGGCACACTGCCTTGTGTCCACCCCCCTTCAAGGCTCAGTCTCCTCGCTGGCACACTACTTCGTGTCCACCCCCTTTGGGGCTCAGCCTCCTCGCTGGCACATCGCTGACACACCACATCATGTCCACCCCTTCAGGGCTCAACCTCCTCGCTAGCACATCACTAGCACACCGCCTCATGTCCATCCCTTTCAGGGTTCAGCCTCCTCACTGACACATTGCTCGGTGTCTAGCTCTGATATCATTTGTAACGGTCCAAGCCCACCGCTAGTGACGTGCCAGCGAGGTGGCTGAGCCCCGTAGAGGGAGATGGACACAAGGCGGTGTGCTAGCAAGGAGGCTAAGCTTCGAAGAGGGTGGATTGCGAGATCCCACAACGGGTGGGGAGGAGAATGAAACATTCTTTATAAGAATATGGAAATCTCTCCCCACCTGCGTTTTAAAAATATTAAGGGAAATCCCAAAACGGAAAGCTCAAAGAGACAATATCTGCTAGCGGTGGGTTTGGACCGTTACATCTAGATTGACGAAAATGCTATTAAATTTCAGTCGCCAAAATGCAGCTTTCTGTTTTTGTTATATTATAATCGCCTCTACAGATATGATTGTGCTGTCAAATTTTTTTGGTGAAAAGAATAGTATATGATACAACAGGAACTGCAAAATTAGTTTTCTAAAACTCATCTTTGTAGCTGTTTATGTTAAACATTTGTCATTGCATTTTGTCGCGCCAGAAAGGAAGTAGAGTTAAAGACTGTTTAGAGGCCCACATGAACGACTTTTGATCTATAGGATCAATCATTTCTCTAGTATCGACCTATAAAAGAGACAACATGAGGTCTCACATCAGTTGGAGAGGAGAACGAAATATATCGTAGGGTGTGAAAACCTCTCTCTAGTATACATGTTTTAAAACCATGAGGCTGACTGCGATACGTAACAAGCTATGGATTTCAATCTCGCCGACCGAGTCGATCAAGGAGCTAATATATGACCAGCAACCACAGCCATGGTAATGAGAATCCTCAATTCCCTCTTCCTCTCAACCAACCGGCTCGCCGTCGGTTGACAGAATGCCTCTCCTCTGGGTGCATCCCTTTCAACCTCGACCATATTGGCATAGTCTCTTTTGTTGAAGTAATAACTCGCCTGCTCAAACGCTTCCCGGACCTGGCTGCAACCAATTCTGCAATTCTCAAGTGCAGCTCTTGTTGCTGGATCAGATGTCCTAGCTTGAAGCTGCTCTATGAACTGATAGGTATTGGACGCATTTCTCAAAACTTGGTCATTTGCTATCAAGGTTAAGCCAACATCATCTACTGGACCTCTCAGATTTTCACTAAAGGTTCTATTGCAAAATCCATAATCCTCCATTTGACGACATACTCGGTCGATCCGTTGCTGCGTTGCAGGGTCACCCATGACAGGATGAACAATGAAGAACACGAAGAACATGAAGAACAAGGATAGCCGTTGCGAAGAACACGCCGAGAACGCCATGATTCCGTTGCTGCTAATGTTGGAAGCAAGGTAAGAGTTACTTCTTTTGGTTCATGATATCATTTTAAATACTAGCCCAAATTGAAGTATGATAAAAAGATATACATGAATGAATTGGTTGTTTATTAGGTAGAATGGGTGAGGCAAATCTGATATGAATACCAAAGAGGGGTATTTCAATTCCTTCCTTAAATGTTATAATACCCTTTTCTAAACTTCCTTGATTGGCTTTTCATTTCCATATATCCCCAAATTTTTACAACTTTATCTCTTTTGTATGTTCCCGAATGTACCCGAAGGAGCCATTACAAGAAGTAAGACAAAAAATATTTAAGTACCAAATCAAGAAAAGAATGGAATGACTATAAATATCACTCGACATTGGAGAGTGATTTGAAGACTTTTTGTCTTTCGTAGTGCCGTGTCTTGTTTTAGGTTTGATGTTAAACTGGTTCATTTGATTAATCTTGATCAAGCTAATTCTGGAGTGAGCGTATCTAAGAGTATCTAAGAGTGACAAACATAGATTCCAAGTTTAATCTAAGAGTTATTCATCTTTCTAACCAGCTCTGGTTGGAATCATCTGTTAAGGTAGCTCTACTTGTGAAAGTTTGCAAGGATCCTTAGGGACCTCTAGCTTTGCAAATTCAGCATGGTTGGTGCTTAAAGAACAATAAAAGATTGAGCATTGTTTTGATTTTGTGGTAATACTCTACACAACGGTCAAAACTCTTCTTCTGCTTGGGATCACTCGTATTCTTACTTAGTTTGGAGAAGGAATCCAGGTTTCTATCGGCCTGCTTCATTGTTAGATTAATGGATATAAGCGAGAGTTCGGGGAGGTCGACCGAGATAGTATGGGAATCGTTGGTGAGGATTTTCTGGCAGTGCAACGGGTACGAGGTTGTAGAGCAAATGGTGACCAGATTTTCATGGAGGATTGCATAAAGCTGCCAAAAGAATAGCAGGGATGAAGGAGGTGAGATTTTAGAGTAACCCATTGTTGGTTTTGGCTGTGGCTTCCTTTGGAACTAAGAAGCTGCTTAAAAAATGAGCTTGGAAGACAAAGTTACTTCAAAAGATGTTGAATTGGCAAATAACCGAACTCTCGAGACATTCTTCAACTCTAGGATGTGATGAGTCAACATCGAGGTGCCAAACGACTCAGTCGATAAGAGCTCATGGGAGTTATCAACCTGTTATCCTTGGCATACCTTTGATCTGTTGAGCAAGAGTCCTTCCACACAGAACTCTCGAATTACTATGGCTGACTATCGTCTCTGTTCGACTAGTTGATCTCACAATCTGACTTATACCATTACGCTCACGAATTGATCTTAGTTTGAGCCTACTTTCATACACCTCCGCTACGCTTTAGGAGGCATCATGATGATATTTGGTTGTCATTTGTTTGGATTTTTCTTGGAAAACAACCAAGTGAGGTTACATGTTTGGAAAGTACCTAAGACGAATGACTCTTTCTCCCAATGAAACAAGTAATTCATGGTTTCGTTTAGGTAATTTGTTGGGCGGAGATAACTTTCACGTTCCCATCGTGCCTTCCGTTTAACCATCCGTCTCTACTAAATTTTCTATTAAATTTTTTTAAAATGTTTCCTTGTGAAGAGTTTTTTTCCAGAACAGTTAAAAAATCTTCATTTAAATGGATAATTTTCAATGAAAATCCCGGTCTTGATCTCCTTCGTTTAGCTAACATGAAAATGAAATTCTCTTCACTCTCTATTCATTTCTCCATCCGTTCAGGCGTGTTCTCCGTTCTTGCAGAAAAAAGAACACTCATTGTTTTATTTGCTTACTTAACGTTATAAATAATATGTGATAACAACAAAACGTGATGTTGTCTCTCACATATATATTTGCAGCTAGTGATGGACTTTAGTTGCAATCTCTCAAACAAAGGACCACATAACCTCTACTCAAATAGTCATATTTCTGTTCACACGTGTAATGCCCCAGATTCATTCGGACTTCCCCTCAAGGCTTTAAAACGCATCTAGTAGGGGAAAGTTTCCACACCCTTAGAAGTGGTGGTTTGTTCTCCTCCCCAACCAATGTGGACATCACAATCCACCCCTCCTTTGGGGCCAACGTCCTCGCTTGCACTCTTTCCTTCCTCTAATCGATGTGGGACCGCCCCCAAATCCACCCCCTTTGAGGCCCAGCGTCCTTACTGACACATCGCCTCGTGTCTACCTCCTTTGGGGAACAGCGAGAAGGCTGGCACATCGTTCGGTGTTTGACTCTGATACCATTGTAACGCTCCAGATCCACCGCTAGTAGATATTGTCCTCTTTGTGCTTTCCCTTTCGAGCTTCCCCTCAAGGCTTTAAAACGCGTCTACTAGGGGAAAGTTTCCACACCCTTATAAATGGTGGTTTGTTCTCCTCCCCAACCAATGTGGGACATCACAGCACGTCTGCAACCTCAATGAGAGTCGTACTCTTATCTAAGGTAGCTTTTCTTCTTTGGAGCACGCCATCTATGATAGAGCTCAATCACAAATCATTACGACCATATCATCGAGGTTTGCCCACATGTGTTTGTTGCACGAGATTGTGCACAAACATGGAAACCTTTGGGGCACGAGGATAATGAATATCTTCATACCTCCATGATAATATGATATTGTCCACTTTAAACATAAATCTTCATGTTTTTGCGATTGTTTCACCCAAAATTTCTCATGCCATTGATACCTAAGTATAGTGGTATAATTAATATCGCTTTCTTTCTCTCTTTGTGATTGTGTCTAACCAATATAAACATAGCTCAACCGTCAAAACATAACTCATTTATTAAATAATTATTTAATTAATTAAACTTGGCAAGGTTATTACGAGCATTTTTCTTTATTTTTTTTTTAATGATTGAAATTGGATATATTTTTATTTAAGGATAATAAATTTTATTTTATATTATTTAATAGACCATCCAAACCTTTGTGGTCGAGTAATAATTCAACTGTTGTCGAACAACAATATGTAGGAGCTCGAGATCCAGACCTTTAACCTCATGAACAAGCATATATATCGGACAACGAAACTTTAATTTAGTAAAAAATATATATAATCGTAACGTTAATTCAAAGTTTATTTCAACAAAAAAAAAAAAAAAAAAAAAAAAAAAA